TCTTTTTTTCTTTTTTTTTTTTTTTTTTTTTCTTGTAGAGTCCAGCTCCAATGGAAAGAAATGTTACTCTTGTGATGAGAAGCGCTGCTCAAACATATTGAGCTGTACAGGGAGTGAAGACCAGTGCCTTAAAGCAACGGGTGAGAATCTGATAAAGAAAAAGATTACTTTTTTTTTTTTTTTATCTCTCTTATGTTTAAGCATTTGAAACAGATCATATATACCAGGAACGCTTAGACTAACCTTTCTTTTCATCAGGGAGTTTCGGAGGAAAGTCAATGGTTCTAAAAGGCTGTGTCTCTGAAGCCATTTGTAATGCCACAACATCAGTCCCTGATGTTCAGAGCATCTCATGTTGTGAGGGGAACCTGTGTAACGGTGCTAAAAGTGTCACTCAGAGCTTCCTGTTCCTCTGCTGTTCTCTGCTCTCCTTCATCCTGCTGCACTGAATCCAGCAGCTCTTCACGTTCTACAGCTGCAGCAGATATACTGTGTTGATGTACAAAAATACAGTTAATATTTTCTTTGGTGTTCTGATGTGATGAACTGAAAAGTATACAGAAAATCTTATGTATTTTTTATGTTTTGGGTTCGTATGTAAAGGTTCATCCAGTAAAAACAAAGTGCGATAATATATTTTTTTAGTTATCATGTTCTGATTAAACAACATGATCGTTATTCAATTATTCAAAAAAGAAAAAATTCACCTCTTAAGTTTTACATGAGACATTACCAGGATTTTCCTGTTCACAGTTACTGATCAGAATGGCAAATAAATAGGTCTAAATAAATAATCTGATATAAAAAGTAATTTTTCTATTATTTGGCTTAATACTATACACTCAACCCAACTTTGGGTCAAATATGGACTAATCCAACCGTTGGGTTAAATTTTTACATTACATTTTTAACCAAAAAGTTGGGTTAGTCCATATTTGACCCAAAGTTGGGTTGAAACAACCCAGCATTTTTTAGAGTGTATATATTTTATGTGAATAACTAGCATGAGAAGTATAAAGTGTAACTGTAATACATCATTTTCTGAGTATTGATCCAGAGTTCACGATTCGATTCAGATTCACAAGCTCTTGATATGATTATTCCAATTTTGGCTCACTTTGATTCGATATCGATTCATTTGGAAAAATTTCGGCAAGACGAGACAAATTTCTTAAAGAAATGATCTCTCAACTAATGCTGTAAACTATAGAGGGTGCATTACTATCATATTGATTTATTTAGCCATGCACTCCACTCCTGAGTTCTTTTTTTCTAAATGACTTTCCTGAGGTAAATGTAACGTTGTTCATACAAGCTGTTTTACTGACATCTTTCCAAGACTGACACATGACTGAGTGATTACACGAGTAAATTGTACTGTATCTTTCAACATACCTTATGATGCCCATTTATGTTTCTTCCTACGTCCCATGATGCTTTGTGTGAATTATGGGATTAACATATGTTACTGTTTGTGTACTATGCAATAAACAAGCATGAGCTGAGTCAATCTGCATTTTTAACAATCCTATAAACGCCATCTGTATGTGAACCGGGACAAGAGTGTCACAACAGGATACAGACCATATATGGCATTTCACCGTGTAGCATCTCCCTTTATTTAAACAATTGCCACACTTCACTAAAAACCTCCTCCATTACTTAACAACCCCAACCCCCAACATGAACTCAAAGTTAGTAGCCAAATTCTGCTGTTTATTACTAACAGCCTCATGAGGAAGCTGTCTATATACTCGTCCACTTCCTGCTTGCAATACCCGAACATATTTCGTAGATCATATTTTTCACAGGCTTGAAGTAGTCTCAAGTACAAATACAAGCTGATCATGGAAATATGAAGGAAAACAACTTCCCAATCTAAAGACACATGCAGTCATAAATGTCTCGTGGATGGAAACAAGCTTGTGGTAAACAAAATTAATTTTGTGGCATTCATAGCAGAAGTCATTTATTGCTCAGCTCAAACAGAACCGAAAAGCTGAAAATCATAATAGCTCCAGCTACCTGACACCTGGGTATTACTGTAATTTCTGTAGAACAGATTCAGACGCTTCTTAAACAAGCTGAAGGGACTGCAGTGATATCTGATCCTTCAGGAAGTCAAAGAAGTAAAACTATGAAATGAAAATACTACACTGGAATGCCAAAGTTTTGTTGCAAATAGCCAAGAATTTTAAAGATTTGTACATCAGTTAACAATGGTACCAGGCATTATTTGTATTCAGGAGACTTGGCTTGATTCGCAATTAAATATTTTCATTCCTGGTTGTAAGTTGGTTAGAAAGGACAGAGTTGGATCGAGTGGTGGGTGATATCCCAGGTTTAAAAAAAATTGCACTTCCATAATGTACTTAAAGTGCTTTATTTTCACCCACTAATTTTGCACTTAATATACTAAAAATGATTCTTCAGTACTTCTTAAGATAAACTTAAAATCAATTAAGTGTTATAAAAATGTGCTATTTTGGGACACCATGAAAATTAACTAAAATGCGCTTAAAAATTTTTTTTAGTGTACTAGTGTATGAAAGATGGGTTCAAGTGTAGGCTACTACAAGTGGTCACTAAATACATATTTTAAATACAGAGATATTATGTTAAAAGCGCATTTTAGTTCAAATTCATGATGTGCCACAATAGCACAGTGGAGTACACTTAGTTGATCTTAAGAAGTACTAAAGAATAATTTTTTAGTATATTAATTACAAAATTAGTGCGTGAAAATAGAGCACTAAGTACATTATGGAAGTGTACTTTTTTTTTTTTACCTTGGATGTGGAACCTTTGATAAAGATGGGGTTGCTTTTAGAGAAATATTATTAGATTCTCAAAAGTTGTTGTAGAGGTGTGGATACATGTAGGGGGAATAAATGTGGTTAACTTTTATAATCCGTGCAAACAGTTAACATTAGATGAACTGAATATAATAAGAACTAAAGCTGGGGATTATTTAATATGGTGTGGGAGATTTAATGCACATAATTCACTTTGGGGAAGTTTGTGCAAAGATAATAATGGAAGGGTAGTTGAAGGAGGAACAAGGTTGAGTATGTTTAAATGATGGTAAGGGAACCAGATTCAATATAAGTGATTCATCAACTTCTTGTTTAGATCGTCTGACAATAGTTCCTGGAACTATAGCCTTAGAATGTAAATGGGAAGTTTTAGATCACTCAGCATTAGGGAGTGATCATTTTCCAATAATTTGTTCTATCGGAATGGAAATGTATAAACAAAACAAAATAAAACAAATTAGGTGGCGATAAAGCTGACTGGGACAGATTGAACAAGTCATGCATTGATGGAATGTTGAATTTTAGTACGGATGATGATATATATTTATGTTGTGAAAGATTAAATTCAATTATTATGAAAGCAGCTGAGGAATCTATACCGAAGTCAGAAGGTAAAGGTAGGATGAAGGTTGTCCCTTGGTGGAATGTAGATTGCAACAAAGCAATTAATGAAAGAAATAAGATGTATAGGCCAAGACTGGGGGGCAGAAAATCAAACAATGATCGCCATATACTGTCCACTTATTCTTTTTTAGACTATGGATGTATTATATATAGATCTGCATCAATCAGTTTGCTTAAGAGTTTAGATTTTATTCAAGCACAAGCACTGAGATGTATTGCACGTGCAATCAAAACAACTCCAATATCTGCAATGCAAGTTAAAACAGGAGAGTCTCTATTAGATACAAGATGTCAAACATTATCTGTGGCGTACTGGATTAATTTACAATGGCATAAATCAAGATCATCCTACAAAATCAATATTAGAGGAGAGATGGGAGACAATAAACTCAGCAGGAACAGGTTTTGGAAAGCAAATGAATGGGCTGCAGAAATGTCACTAAATACTACAATGTTTTCATCAACAGTTACAAACAGTCCCCAATACCTCCATTGTTATTCGGTCAACCTGAAGCTGATTTACAGATTTGTGATGGTATTCAAAAAGAACAGAATGGGATTAATATCAAAAGCTACACAATAGATAAATGAGAACAGTTTATTATGCATTCCTTCCAATATACACAGATGGCTCATGAAACCCAGTGATAGGTTGTACAGGAGCAGCATTCTGTGTTCCAGAATTTAAATTAGGGTAGTATGAGAGGTTAACAGATGGGACTTCAGTACACTGCGGAATTGGTGGCAATTTAGATGTTGGGTAGAAGAAGTGTTGCTAAATAAGTTTGCGATTTGTTCAGATTCAATGGCATTGCTTATCAGCCTTCAAACATTCCAGACAGTTAGATATGTCATTTTCATAGAAATATACTGACTATAATAGATTAAGACAAGCTGGAATAACAGTTAATTTCATATGGATACCAGCACATGTCTGATAAAAAATCTGATAAAATGGCTAAAGATGCACTTAAAGGGATACTTCACCCAAAAATGATAATTCTGTCATTAATTACTCACCCTCATGTCATTCTAAACCCGTAAGACCTCCGTTCATCTTCAGAACACAAATTAAGATATGTTTGATGCATTCTGAGAGCTCTGTGACCCTCCCATAGACAGCAATGTAATTAACATGATCAACGTCCAGAAACGTAGACTTTTCTTTCTGCTTTGCTACTGCGAGTTGATACATTATGGAAAGTTTTTATCAGATTTCTAAACTGACATTTCATCAAAATTATATGTAGTTGAACTGGTCTTTCCTGTATCATTTGTGCTTTCTAGGTGACAACACAACTGTAGTTAAAAGATGTTTTTATCAAATGGTTATCCAAGTGGGTCCATCAACTTTTTACTGCTGTGACACAGATCTGTGTAACACACCAAATGCTCCAGGTATTGAACTTTACATTCAACAGTAAACATTTATCAAGAAAAAAAATGTAAGATGGGACTTGATTTTCTATCGGCAATTGTGACGTCAGCCGAAAAAGACAGGGAGAGCATGTTATTGCAATTTTATGAAGGTTTATAAGAACAAAATGTTTTCTTTGGTACAACGAGCATTTATGTGGTGTGCACAATAAAACCAGGACCAACAAAGCACATTTATTTTCCCTCCTGTAGATCCCAGCAATAACACTTCCAATGGAAAGACGTGTTACTCTTGTGATGGACAGAGCTGCTCAAACACAGTGAACTGTTCAGGGAGTGAAGTCCGCTGCTTTAATGCGACAGGTGAGAATCTGCTGAAGGAAGAAGAGGATTATCTCTTCTGTATTTGAGACTTTGATACAGTTCACATGCCAATTTCCAGCTTAGACACTATGTCATCTCAGGTAATTAATCCACTTTTTATTTTCTTTGTTTTAATTAGGGACTTATGCTTCCAAAAGTTGTGTCTCTAAATCTATTTGTGCTGCCACAACATTCATTCCTTAGATTTTGAACTTAACATGTTGTGAGGGGAACCTGTGTAATGGTGATAATGTCACTCAGAGTATTACCCAGAGCACCACCCAGAGCTCCAACCAAAGCTCCACCCAAAGCACCACCCAGAGCTCGAGCTCCACCCAAAGCACCACCCAGATCTCGAGCTCCACCCAAATTTTTATCAAATGGTTATCCAAGTGGGTCCATCAACTTTTTACTGCTGTGACACAGATCTGTGTAACACACCAAATGCTCCAGGTATTGAACTTTACATTCAACAGTAAACATTTATCAAGAAAAAAAATGTAAGATGGGACTTGATTTTCTATCGGCAATTGTGACGTCAGCCGAAAAAGACAGGGAGAGCATGTTATTGCAATTTTATGAAGGTTTATAAGAACAAAATGTTTTCTTTGGTACAACGAGCATTTATGTGGTGTGCACAATAAAACCAGGACCAACAAAGCACATTTATTTTCCCTCCTGTAGATCCCAGCAATAACACTTCCAATGGAAAGACGTGTTACTCTTGTGATGGACAGAGCTGCTCAAACACAGTGAACTGTTCAGGGAGTGAAGTCCGCTGCTTTAATGCGACAGGTGAGAATCTGCTGAAGGAAGAAGAGGATTATCTCTTCTGTATTTGAGACTTTGATACAGTTCACATGCCAATTTCCAGCTTAGACACTATGTCATCTCAGGTAATTAATCCACTTTTTATTTTCTTTGTTTTAATTAGGGACTTATGCTTCCAAAGGTTGTGTCTCTAAATCTATTTGTGCTGCCACAACATTCATTCCTTAGATTTTGAACTTAACATGTTGTGAGGGGAACCTGTGTAATGGTGATAATGTCACTCAGAGTATTACCCAGAGCACCACCCAGAGCTCCAACCAAAGCTCCACCCAAAGCTCGAGCTCCACCCAAAGCACCACCCAGATCTCAAGCTCCACCCAAAGCACCACCCAGAGCGCCACCTAGAGCTCAAGCTCCACGCAGAGCTCCACCCAAAGCACCACCTAGAGCTCAAGCTCCACCCAAAGCACCACCCAGAGCTCGAGCTCCACCCAAAGCACCACCCAGAGCTCGAGCTCCACCCAAAGCACCACCCAGAGCTCGAGCTCCACCCAAAGCACCACCCAGAGCTCGAGCTCCACCCAAAGCACCACCCAGAGCGCCACCTAGAGCTCAAGCTCCACGCAGAGCTCCACCCAAAGCACCACCTAGAGCTCAAGCTCCACCCAAAGCACCACCCAGATCTCGAGCTCCACCCAAAGCACCACCCAGAGCGCCACCTAGAGCTCAAGCTCCACGCAGAGTTCCTCCCAAAGCACCACCCAGAGCTCCACCAAGAGTGCTAACAGTGCTAATAGTGTCACTTAGAGCTTCCTGTTCCTCTGCGGTTCTCTGCTCTCCTTCATCCTGCTGCACTGAATCCAGCAGCTCTTCACATTCTACACTGAGACACACTGTACTGAATATATGGCTTATGATTTCTCTCTTACTATATTTGGCAAATATAACAATCACCTTTAGACTTTTCTTGGTTTATTTTCAATAAGCACAATGCATCCATAAGACAAGAAATTTGTTCATTCTACTGTTAATCAGAGGACATTATTAGCCTATCTTTTAGGCTATACATTAGTCAAAGGAGTACAATAATTTGAAAAGAGTTGAAATACTTTCACACTACTAAAACTGTAATTAAGTTACTAGCTGACTGATATGTTTTTAATTACCAATGTCTTGTCAACAATACCTGATATGAAACTGATATTTACAACATAATTTAACTGGATAGATAAACTTTGATGACAAACTATCTGTTTGAAAGTTTTACTCAGAAAGTCAATCAGTTTCAGTAAGTTGCTAACATGCTTTAGGATGTTCCTAACATGTTTTAACAAATTGCTAGCATGTTTTGACAAATTGCTAACACGTTTAAACAATAATATTGGTAATTTTAGTAAATTGTTAAAATGTTAAGATGTTTTAGCATGTTGCTAGAATATTTCTAGCATGATTTAACACATTGCTAGTCCTTAACATGTTTAAACAAATTGCTAGCATGTTTTAATAAACATAATAAACATTTAAATTTTCGTCCTTTTGGAAATGTTGCACATCGTAGAAACAGCTATTTAAATAAAACTTAAAATGCATTTAGCATCATTTACCAGCAGGTGGGAGCAGATGATCTGTTGTACCAAAACAACACCTTGCACTTGTGGAAACGGGCTTTAGGTGAAAAATCATCATCTTCTAAACTCACACGAAGATTGCCAGTGCTTATTGGTTGGCCTCTGATACTAATAAACAGATCAATAAATGGATAAAGTAAAAACTGTTGTAGAAAATGTAACCAATTTTATCAGAGGGTGCAAAAATCAAATGATGACCATTATGTATGTTCGAGCTCAAATTTCATCTTGTGCATTTGACATGACAATAATATTAACATCTTTTACTAAAGCAATCACATGGGTTGCTAAATATGTCTTGTGTTTGTCTTTTGTACAACAAAACTCAAGCTACTGTCTGATCAATCAGAGGTTATCAGATATTTTTGTGCTGATTTATTTAAAGCTATAGAGTGTGTTCCACATTTAATCAATAACTGAACTTTCACATAGTCCCATTCTGAGCAAAAGACCCAGCATATCAGCAGCACTGACCGTGACAGAGTGGCAGAGCTGCAGTGTGTCGCTGTGTCTCTGACCTGTTCTGGGGACAAAATTGCCAGCAATGAGTTACATAAACAACAATTCTATTGTGGATGCCATCTAAGGGAAAAAGCAGCTCATAAATATATTGTATTCAAATTTGTTTTCTTTTTTTCTTTTAGGCGTAAGATAATGTACTATGTGCGATATTGCATGTAACACTGCAATCCTGAACTGCAAGGTAAAAAAGAATTATGAATTAAAAAACAGAATTAAAACAAACAAAAGAGTCAAAATATACAAAATACAAAATATAAACAAAAAGAATATAAAGAAAGAATGCAAAATAAAACAAATTTACAAAAATAAAAGGGAGAGACATTCAAACCCCCCTGTGATTCAAGGCTTTCATATAAAAATGTGCAGAAAAGAACTGCAAAATAAATATATATTAATCTATAAATAAAGAACATAATAATGAACAAAAAATAAATAAAAAAACATTAAGAAAAAACATGTGGAAAATAATAATAATAATAATAATAATAAAAAATTGTAAACATTTGCCCCTTCCAAAATAAATAATATAAAATCATGTGGCAGGGAATAGGGAAAAATCACAAAACCACATTAAAAAATGGATAGAATGAACATGCACCATAAAAATGTCATATAATAAAGTAGCCTACTTCAAAATTGAAAAAGATCGAGCGAGCGATTGGTCGAGAGAGAGAGAGAGAGAGAGAGAGAGAGAGAGAGAGAGACCCATTGGCAGCGTGCTCACCTGATTGCGGGGCTTCTTTTGATCTTCTGCCGCATCAAAGGGTCATTTCCCCGCGGCGCTCAGAATGAACTGATCACCGGCACCGTTACATCTACACTGACGATTTTCACCCACAGCATGACCATGAAGAACAGCAAACCGATTGCTCTGGACCGGCGCGATATTCACTCCCTGCTGGATGTGATCGGCGGCTTCGGTGCCGTGGGGATCATTGGCATGCTGTCGGTGTGCGCCGCGTTCTTCATTTACCGATCCTTTCGAGGTCAGCGCGGGAAGGGTGGCGAGAATAACGGCAACGAAACGACGATAGCGACGGGAGAAGAGAGCACGCCTCGGAGGAGGAAAAGAGAGAGGGGTGATCGACCTACCGAGTCAACAGGTAAAACTAGACAATTGTTGAAACATGGTATGCTAAATGTTTGTGCGAGACTTTTTTTGCAATATTACATGTAAAATATGACTATGACTTATCAGATGTCACTGTAACAGGCAAAACCACACATGCCGATGTGACAGACACAAATGTGGTTTGGTGAGCGGCACGCGCTGTTTTTTGGCCAGTCAGAAAACTTATCCAATCAGAATCGTTTCCTGCATGTCCATCACTTTGCACGTTTGCAGGCTGAAATTTGGAAGGCGGGGTTTTAGATAGGCCTATTGATTATGTTATTGATTTTGGTTATCATAATGTTTGGAATAATTTTATACAAATCTAGGTCACACGACTAGAGCATGCAACATTTTTTGGACATGGCAACAAATAGGATATGATGCCATGCTTCAGTTTTTAATAATTAATAACGTAAAAAAACAATGCTCTGTCTAAAACGTTACAATAAAGCCACACATAGGCACAAAAAAATTAAATAATATACACTATCATTCAAAAGTTTGGGGTCAATAATTTTTTTTTAAATGAATACCTCTATGCAGCAAGGATACATTAAATTGTTTAAAAGTGATAGTCATTTATAATTTTAAAAAAGATTTCTATTTCAAATGAATGCAGATTTTTAATGATAATGATAAGAAATTTGGAAGGATTTCTGAAGGATCACTGAAGACTGGAGTAATGATGCTGAAAATTCAGTTTTGCATCACAGGAATACAATACAAATAACATATTACAATATCATTTTTATTTAGTTATTTTTATTTTATTTATTTTTTTACAATATAACAATATTACTGCTTTTACCATGTCTTTCATCAAGTAAAAAATTTAAACATTTGACAGACCACAAACTTTTGTCTTTCATGCAACACTGCAAACCTGCAGTTTTGAGTATTGTGGTTTTTAATTCAGCTAAGAGGTCAGTCTGAACAGGTTTCTTGCATTTATTTGCACACTGAATTGTTACTAGTGTTTTCTTTTCTTACATCTCTTTAACCATCAAACAGGTCTTTACACTGCAAAAGCAGCAAAGACGCCTTGTCTTGTCCAAATGTTTGCTGGCTATTATATTCCACAGTCTTGTGCAGCAGTTTGAGGGTTGCTTTAGAGATTGACTGTGACTCTTGTGTTTAGCTGCCAGAATACAAGAAGAACTGAGTGCCGTGGCAGTGCAAAGTTGAAGGCATGCAGCTCTGATGCAGCATCTCATTTCATACAGCCAAAGTCTGAAATGTACACTTAAACATTATTATTTAGCTGGTTCATAAGCACTGGTATTTCCTTCTAGAAATGCAAATCTAGTTAGTTAGTCCTAAAGTTTGTTTTTCTCTTTTTTTTTTTCTTCTGCTCGATTGCTGATGATTTTTGGTTGATTTATTACTTACAGAGGCAAGTAACCTACTTCGACTGCAGGTCATTTACATGGACTATTTTTGGATTTAAAAACAGTGACATGGACTTTTCTCATGAACGGATCAAATATTGTTTCACAACCATAAAACCAATGAAAACATGAATGCACACATAACATTTTGAGTCAAAATAAGAATGAAAAAGATGTAAAGCGATAAAAAAGACTGTTCTTTGCTAAAAGAATTCCCATATAAATGTTTAATCACTTGAAGCGCATGTGACGTAATGCATTTTCATTTCACTTTTAGGAGAATGTCAGCGTGGAAAGCAGAAGAAGTGCTGTAACCTCTCCTCCACAGACAACATGCTCCTTCCTACTGAGGTGCCAGAGAAAGACCTGAATGAAAGCACTCTTAAGGATTTGGAGGAGATTACAGATGAGCTCCTAACAGACTTGGAACCCGAAATGGGAGAAAAAACGGATTCTGATCTGGATCAGTGTGTAGAAATGGATCCTGATGAAAAATCAGAATGTGAGGAACATATTCAGGATGAGGATGATGATGGACGTGAGGTTTTGGCTGATGTGAGTGTAGGTTTGACAGAATTGTCGAATTCTGTCGAGAAGGAAATTGAGGAATACCTTGACAAGTCTGTGAGTTTGGACACGGATGAGCCATCTGAAACTGAAAGCGTGCGGGAGATCATTTATCAGAGACATCAAGATCACATCACAACTCAAAGTAATTCTTCTCCAGACCAAGCCCCATCCAATCCCAGCAAGATCCAATTAGAGGAAAACAGCAAGACGTCAACGGTGGAAGAAGCGGAGAACACCAGCAAGAAGTTTGAAGACAATCATGATTGGCGTTTTCCACGAACAAATAACTTTGATTGCTGTTGCTGTGATAAGAAGACCGATACGATGGAGAAAATAAAAGGCCAGCCATGGTTTCACACTGGAAGCTACGCCACAGACGCCATAAACCTGAGCCCAGCTGTGGAAACCATGGTTAACCACAGCAGCAGGTTTGACTTCCAGAACTACTTGGGTTTCCAAACGGATAATACGTTCATGGGTGGGTCTTCAACACAGATGAGCCTCTCACAAGAGAAGAAAACCGACGAAGAGAGTGCGGCAGTGCAGAAGAAACACGAAAAGAATGAAATCAGCATCATGGACGCTATTATGGACAATAATGAGTGGCTAAACGTAGGTGCATCAGAGTTCAGAGATCTTCCTTGGCTTTCGCCAACTGCAAGCGAAGAAAAACAGACGCAACTAGAAAAAGAAAGGCAAGTCAAGACCGGTTTAGCCAAAGACGATGAAGAACCGGTAGCGACTGTTCTGCCTTTATCTCAAACGGTTAACGTGACCTTCAGGATTCACTACGTCACATATTCTCCTAACCAGCTGGTGGCTGTTACCGGGAGCCTGCAGGAATTGGGTGCCTGGGAGAAATTTGTTCCACTGCAGAAAGCCAAGGACGGGTTCTGGGCCAACACTATCAGCCTCCCTGTGGAGAGCCAGGTGGAGTGGAAGTTCATCCTGGTGGAAGATGGAAGGATCTCTCACTGGGAGGAGTGTGGAAACCGCTATCTCTTTTTAACAAGCCAAGATGAAGACATCTATCTTGACAAGGGCTGGGGATGTTGTTGAACTCAGAGGTGACTATCTTCTAGGGCTGCATGATTAATCAAAATAAAATTGAAATTTGCGGTACGGCTGCGGTTTAAGTAAATAAATATAAGCGCTGTGTGTTTCAGAGTGAAGCGAGCGGCAATGTGTTTTTACAAGTGACCAGTTTATTCGGAGCATCTCATCGTGGTAAATGCCGCTTTTTTACACCATCTCCATCTCTGCATCTGCTCTAATTTTTGGTCGCTTTAGCGGTAAATTGGAATGGAACATCCTCCAACCATCTTCCCATATTTGTAATGGGAAATGCTTGTTATACAAAAAAGTTTTTCTGTCAAAATAAAAGTTTATTTTATTTTTTTGAAAATAAATAAAGACAGCAATAAATACTAGTATTGTATTGTTTCATATAAAATTTAATTATTATTATTATTTCTTAAATACAAATGTTTTATTTTAGAGTAAAATATTACAATAATAATATTTCTTATCTTGTTTTTATTTAATAATTCTTATATATTTTTTACAATAATAATAATAATTATTACTAGTTTTTTATTATTTTTTAATAGCCATATTGATATATAAAATTTTGGCCAAATTGTGCAACCCTAACAACAAGCACATCAAACCTAATTTTTTTTTTAAATCGCAATAAGAATTTTTTTTTACCCTAAATTGTGCAGCCCTACAACTTCTTCCAACTCTATACAGCAATAATAATCCATAGTGCATTATTGAAATCCAATATGTATGATTATATTATACTATTATTAATTATTACTTAATTATTCCAATAAAGCATGAGGCTGTGGAACTGTTACTATAGCAATAAGATTATAATATTATAAATATGCACTTTTTTTACATCGATAAATGTGTGTTGATTATATCCAGTCGTACTGAAATTGTCTGCCCTTAAAACTATAATCCTGTAATAGCGAAGTACCAAAATTGAGAAAATTCACAAAAAGTCTTGTCTTTCACGTATAAGGGAAAATCCTAATGCTTCCAGAGGTTGAATATATCTATTTTAAAGCATACTGTATAATGTTTTGTGTGTGAATTTAATCTAAAATGTCGCAAAAATCTCACTAATCTTTTCATGACTAACTTATCTGGAAACATACTCTATGCAAGTGCACAAATGCAGACGTGAATGTAAATATGCAGTCCCACTACATATTTTGCAAGCATGATTGCATTAGAAAGCTCAGTTCTCAGGGGGGAAATGGTTTCCTTCAAATGTGATTTTAATTGAATTAGTTATTGTTAAAGGGGTCATATGATGCGATTTCAATTTTTCCTTTCTTTGGAGTGTTACAAGCTCTTGGTGCATAAAGAAGATCTGTAAAGTTGCAAAGACTAAAGTCTCAAATCCAAAGAGATATTCTTTATAAAAGTTAAGTCAACCACGCCTACCTAAAACTGCTCGTTCTAACACGCCCCCACATGTCTACATCACGATGTGGAAAGATTTGCATAACGCCTCCCAAATGTTCACGCAGTAACTTTTATTCTCGCTGTAGTATTGTTGCCGCCGCCGCCGCCATGTCGTGAAGGCGCTGTGTTTCCTTGTGAAAGCGAAACTACTTTGGTTGGCCTTCCAAAACAGGAAGATATCTGGTTTGTCGTGCCTAGAGCTGATCCGTGCTGGTCGCTGAGGAAATACATCAACTTCGCGCTGTT